TAACTCGACTTGCACATTGCATGGTTCGAAAACAAGCATTAAAATTGGTTTTTGGAACATGAGAACCATGGCAGAAACAACAAAATCAGCCCAGGTAGCAGAAGAAATGAAACGATACTGTCTAGATTTATTGGGACTGAGTGGAAGTGAGATGGCCTGGAGCACATGACAGGGTGGTCAATGGTTTATAATTCACTAGCTGTACCTGGCCACGCATTGCTGTGGCCCAGAATGGTGAAATGAAAAAAAAAAAGAAAATAGCTCTTAGCTAACAGTGTCTGTCATAACCCCCCTCCCCCCCCCCCACTGTTATATCTCCCTCCCCGAAGTATTGAAAAATCATCACCTGGCAAAAGTATAAAAACAGAAATAGTTAAGAAATGAGAAGTTTAAAATAATGTTTTAATCAGTGTCTTCAAGCTCCTCTCAGTGTCCTGCGTCACCCCTCCCCCCCCCCCCCCCCCCCCCCCATCCCCACCCCCACCCCCCCCCCCGCCCCCTCCCCCCCCCCCCCCCCCCCCCCCCCCTCTCCCCCCCCACCCACCCCCCCCCCCCCCCCCCCCCCCCCCTCCCCCCCCCCCCCACCCCCTATCATATCATCCTCTCTGAAGGATGGAAATGTCATCATCTGATGAAATATTGTAACCGAATTGAGCTTGGCATCCGTGTCCACCCAGACTAAAATGGGTAGCATTAATTTGTACTGAGAAATAAATGTGGCCAGTGTAACAGCTATTGCATCACCCATCCAGTACCAGTCCTACTGCTACCACTACCACAGTCACAACAACAACAACAAAACTGTCACTACTGTCTGTGCAGGTCGGTGTAGCCAGAGGAGTTAGCGTTGCATGCTGTTGCCATGGACTGTTTAGTTTAAAAACTATCGCCTAACCAGTGATGGAACCCAAGGTAAAAAGTTCACTATACTCACAAATAGTGGAGAAAAAACCATGCACCCGTCATCTCTCCCTCTCCATAGGGACGATTTTTAACTGACCTTGGCATCCGTGCCCACCCAAACTAAAAGCCCTCTTAGTTAACAGTTTCTGTCATCGGCGAATAGTTTTTGATCGAGAAGCGTCGCGGGCGGCTAATTGGGACTTTACAGAAATCAGATGTTTTGGGGCAAAAGGCGCAGATATCGCAGCCTAGCTGTAAATCACAACAAAAAGCGGCAACCACCATTTTAAGAGGAAAAGAACAATTATCACCCAGCGAGGGATCAAACACCGGTCACCCGCGTAAAGGGTGGAATACTTACAACTATACTACCGAAGACTGAAGAGTTTAGGTCAGATATTGCAGCCTAGCTGTAAACCACAACACAACGTGCCAACGGTCCTCTCGAGGGCGAACGAAGATTACCCATGACATGACCATTGAGCATCACGTTGCCGCTATCGCAGGCTAGCCCTAAACCACAACACAACATGCCAGCCGCCCAGTTAAGGGCCCAAAAAAATTATATCACCTAGCAGGGAATCGAACACGGGTAACCCGCATGATAGGCAGAATATTTACAACTACCAAAGACTCACGAAGTTGGTTGAAATGAACTTTTATAATGAAAAGTTTAATAAGAAATAATGTCTTAGGTTCCGGTCATTACATGTCCAAATACTCAGTCAGGAAATGGTCGTGTGCATAACGAATGTAGATCAATTAAGACAGTTCAACTCCGCTGCCAATTGAAATGCACAATAGTATTTTTAAAAACCGAAATACAAAACACAATGGGGGAAAAACAAAGTATACTTGAGGCTGTAAATAAAATGTGTTTGAAAACCCAAGCTAAGGTGACCAAAAAACCCAAGCAAAACATTGGCAAGAATGATAAAAAGTATAAAATCTATAGTAACAAAAGGAAAAATTTTACCCACTGTTATGTTAGTATATAATGTGTGTGTGTGGGGGGGGGGGGGGGGGGGGGGGGGGGGGAGAGAGAGAGAAAAAGGAGACACTAAAAAAATAAAGTAAACAACGCTGCAAATGTGATAAATGGGGGAAAAGGCACTTATTGGCAGCACTGCTCAGCAGTCAAAAATGGCCAATGAACTAAAAACAAATCTGGGCCCGCAACGAAACAAATAATGATTTGACCGTTGCTGGAGCCACATCGTTCACGGTTTGTGCAATTTTATCACAAAATTACATGCGCTGAGTCGAAGGCAATGTTGTGTGAAAATTTGAAAGCAATCGGTTCAGTAGTTTCCGAGTCTATAGTTAACGGACTCGGAAAATTACACAATTTTTATTATTAATATAGATTTAGTCAAGTAGAAAAGATTGGAAACGTGGAAAGTGTAGGTATTATGTCACCTCAAGCTGCAATGTGTATATAGGAGTGGGAACCTATTTCAAGTCAGATGACTATAGCCAGATTCAAAACGAGACATGTTAAAGTGTTATGCACTAACCAATGATGCTGAGCCAGACTAGAAAGATCTGTTTTATGAACAACTGCCAGATGAAACTGACAATATCCCAAAACATGATGTTACCAGCAGTGAAAGGTTTTAATGCTAAAATAGGCAAAGACACTGTAGGCGTACAGAGAGCCATGGGGGAAAAAAGGAGTCAACACAATGAATGAAAATGGAGAAATATTAGCAGAGTTGTGCACACAAGAAAATTCACAAATTAGCTTCATCTTCACCAGAAGGGGTGACTAAGAACCAGACTGACCACCCGTGCATCAACTGAAAATTCAGAACCTCTTTAATGGATATTTGCACACACAAGGGAGCATGTGTTGGAAGTGACCACAACCTATGCAAAGGACAATTGAAAATAAAACTCAAAGCAGCTGTTAAAAACAAGCACAGCAGAGAATAGACAAGCAAAGACTTAGTAACGAAAAAGTACAACAGGAGTTCATCGAGTTTGAACTTAAACACAGGTACATGATGCTTGAAGAGGAGAAAGAGCAGTGCATTGAAGATAAATGGAACAATTTTAAGATGGAAGGGGTTAGTAGTGCAGGTTTAAAGAAGAGTAAAAGAAAACTATGGATTAGTAATGAAACTTGCCAGTGCGTTCAGAGCAGAAAGACAGCAAAGCTTGCAATATATAATGCTAGGACAAAACAAAATAAAAGCTAAAGAAGATTAGAGGGAAAGAAACAAACAAGTAAAAGGCAAGAGAAGATAAAAGAGCATATGTTGATAAACTTGGTGAAGGGAAACAGGCAGCTAAAGTTAGAAATAGCAAAATACCCTGCAACACATTGCATGCAATAAAGTGGAATAGACGAATCAAATGTGAACCCTATGTGATGTCTAATGACACACAAAGGATGATAACAACTTAGGTCAACTAACAAAAATGCATATCCCTGCTGATTTAAATCCAAGATCTTCAGGCCAGCAAGTAATATGTGGGAAAGGGAGTGTAAGTAGCAGCAAAAGAAGGTTTATATTTTGTACAGCTTTTATTTTCATGGGGAACCACCTATTTTTGCAGGGACTAGACGCTTATTGTAGATCCATATCTCAAATGAATAAAACCTGACATTTTTAAAAAAAATTATTCTGGCCACCAGGTCAACCCAGTCTTAAATGGGTATCATGAAAAATACTGGGAAGTGTGAACCATAGCACCCATCAAGTGCCGCCAACAGGTCTACAAAATATATGTCTAGAACTATATACCCAATAAGCTTGAAGGTGTACAAAAGGGTCCCTTACTTGATCATTATGAAACATAAGTTAGATTAGCATTATGGCATTAAAATACTTCAGCAATATGCTAAAGATTAGCTAAGGTAATATGAGGTGTAAAAAAAAGACTTCACAGGGCTGTCAAACATCTTAAATATGGCCCTGACTGTTCCCTTTAGGAAAGGAAAGCAAACTGGCTCCACAGATAACAAAAATCACAGCTAAAGTTATAAAGCAACATGAAAAATATTACTTATGAAAATAAATATTAGATGATCAGAATGTAGAATTTGACAAGGCAAGACCACACACACAAAAACTGAAAATATGTATGCTTAGAATAAACAAACTAAATCAAGGAAATTCACAGGGTATTTATCAATAATTTAGAATGCTCAAATCTGAAGAAATTGTCAAATTCTAAAATAATAAAGGACAGACATTGAACAAACATAATCAATTACAACCAGGAACAAAGTGAAAAAACACTAGGAGATAAAACGACAATATCAAATGAAATTAGAACATAACTTTCTCAGTACACAATGTACCATTCGCCTCTTCTTCGCTCTAACCACTGAGAAACTCTAGCGCAAAAGTTCTGATTGTTTACTCACTTCAGGACTTTGATCCTGTTCCAGAATTTGAACTGTGTGTGCAGGTATGTTCTACAGATGGGGCTTATATGTAGGCAGGCTCTTGACTCTTTGCCTCTCAGGTATATGCACTTTGACTCTGAAGGATACACCCCTCGTTAGTAGAAATGCTTTTTAGGGGGACAGTGGAGTACATCCCTTCAGCATGAATGAACTGTCTCTGCTGGTTTACTATTCTCCTTAACACTTAAAAAAAGGGGGTAGGGGGGATGACCCAGTTGGAATTACATTTTTTCTAAAAATCTACAATAAACAACAATTTTATTCTATGTTCTCTAGATTATTTGTAGTCAAGCGAAAAGCACAGCAAAATTTCTTTCCAGTTCCTCCTGCGACCTGAGGTGTAAAAGACTATAGGTCAAACAAGAAATATCAGTCTAGATGCATTAATTTATAATGTAATGTATCTGAAGGATATCTGTGCAGTCACAGCTGATAGATTCTGTTATTTACTGTGAAGTTATGTCCTAACAATAAATATTAACAATCACCACTGATAGATAATGACAACAGATACCTGATACCTAGTTTTGTCAGACTATAGTTTTAAAAAAAGTGTTTTCCAAGTTGTTGAAAATAGCCAGAAATCATACAGAGCAATGGTAAAATATTCTGACACGAACAGATACTGAAGACAAGCAAACTTCAAAACATGACTCCACACTGAAAAACATGATCTTACTCTCATAGAGTTAGTCACTGCAAAGTTGTGTGGCTTCACAGGGCAAAAGTCTATACTGGTAATAGCCCCATACTCCTTTACAGTTACTGGTGCCTGGAGATCAAGAGAAACATAATACAAATACAGCAGAATTCATCACCAAAACACAAACCTGTATAGCCTTGCATAATTATATTTACCAACATTAATCAACAGAACGTCACTCTCTCATGCCCCACCTGAAAGTCTTTCTTACTCTAGTCAATTCTTCAGCCCTATGTGCTTTCACAGCCAATGCATTTAAACCATGTCTTCTTGTATCCACATTTGCAGGTTCGCCCGGTATTCAGGAAACAACCCTCTAAGCCACCATGATGTTTAACATGGACAAAACAAACCAGCCTTTAGGACAGGATAATTACATTGAACAGTCTGCCTTGGAAATTATCTGCTATACACTTTCATCTATACTCACAGGCATCATGAACAATTTTGTATGCAGTACAGTGACACATGTGAAATTCTACAGCAATTTTATCAATAGTGACTCATCCATTCTCCCTGCTCTGCATGCTATTTCTCTGTCTCAGCCGCCCTAAGGTCTCACACTCCGCTTTTCATCACTGATGTTATTCCTTCCATTTTAAAATCTGACCACCCATTCATACACTTTCCTCTGACACAAACAACTATTTTCTTATTAGATCTTCCTTTTCAATTCATTTTATATGATGGTTTAATACGCTCTGCTCACAAATAATGAATAATACCCTGTGGCTCTTCAACTGTGCATGTTAACAGTGCTGTGCTCATCGTGCATGATAGGCTGTGCTCATCTTGCATGAGAGGCTGTGCATGTGCCAATGTATTCAGACCACATCACTTTATTCTCTAATTTATTCAGTTCTCTTCTCTGTGGGTCTTTAAAATCACTTTTTATTTTTTATCCGAGTGTTTGCAGGGTTGTAGCAGTGTAAAGGACGTCCTAATTTTATTGCTTTCACAACGGCTGTTTAAATGTGTGACTTACGACTTCACTACACGATCCAGCATTAGTGTCTTTTCAAAAGTATTCTTGATTTACTGGAATTTTGTCATTAAGTACAAATAATTTAGCCTTTCTCAAAGATTCACATCAGAAATGTTATAGTATACTCATCTGGGTTTAAATATCTTTGAACAACATTCACTGAAGATGGTAAATTGGACACAGAAATTGACATCTGATGCAGTAAAGCAGGCTAAGTATTTGATTAGGACAGTTAGCTTCACTCTTACAGCAAAAAAAAGCAATTCCAATCAGCACAAAGAAACATCTTATACAATGCATAATTAATCCCATCCTATGTTAGTATCAGTGCCAGACATGGACACACAACAAAACAAAATTAGTAACTATGAAAATGAGGTGTCTGACAAAGAATGTAAAAGTTACCAGAACAGATAAAATCAGAAATGGAGTCATTCAAGATAAAGTCGGCACAGTTCTAATTCTAAATTACAATCAAAGACGGCAAATCGAATGGTCTGCCTAGCTGGAGAGAATGCCTTCTGATGTTATACTAAACGAGGCATATACCAAAAGAGAAGAGTGATGCAGAACAAGAACAAGATGGAGAGATATCAGAAAACTCCACAAATGACCACAGCACCACGATGTGTTACTGTCTACGGTCAAGCAGCTAGAAGAGCACAAAACAAAGCAGGATCTAATATCTAATACTAATATCTCCCTCGATACCCAAAATGGTAAAAGAGGACGAAAAAGAAGAAGACATAAAGCCTTTCCTAATAAACAAAAAATGGACAGTAGGATACAATAATGTCAGATTAAAAATAACATTTTAATTAGTAGTAACAACTTTATCATATGAATGAAAGATCATAAAAACACCTAGACCAAAAAATTGATTATAGAGTAAAGAACAATTCAAATATCAGTGAAACATAAACGAAATGACATAAGAAGTTTGGTTTAACTTTGGCTCTCCTTGCAGATCCGGACGAGGGTTGGACGCGGGCTGGACGACTTAGTTCAGTTTAGTGGGAGTTCTCTCTCTTGGCCGCACTCAAAACAAGTAGCGGAAAAAGTCACAAATCAAACAAGACAGTGAGGTCGACATCAGGGCTGCCAATGCTTGGGTGTGTCCCCCAGATCTGTTTTTTTTTTGACACTGCGGGGATATTTGGGTTTTTTTGTGTGGCCGATCTGTATGCTTTAATAAATTTGCGTGGTTAAGGGTAGGGGTAGGATTAGGGGTTAGGGTTAGGATTAGGAGTAGCGTTAGGGTTGCCGTAAGGGTTAGGGTTAGCGTTAGATGTGACAATTATGACGCCGTAGTTCCCTATAATCGCGCAGTCACAATCATACCCCATAACCCTAACGTTACCCCTAACCCAAACCCTACGCAGCCCTACACGCCACAGTATGATGACAACGCAACCCTTCAGGCAACCGTATGACGACTACAAAACCCTACACGCAACCGTATGATGACTACTCAACCCTAAACGCAACCTTACACGCAACCGTATGATAATAGGTAAGTATGTCATTTGTTTCGTGGACTTTTCCGCTCACTGTTTCGAGTGCGGCCAAGGAAGAGAACTCCCACTAAACTGAACTAAGTCGTCCAGCCCTCGTCCGGATCTGCAAGGAGAGCCTTAACTTTTAATGTTTACTGCCGAAAATTTTTGAATTATTATTATATTATTATTATTTATTGAATCCAGTCACTGACTGAGTTGGAGATGGTGGAATTGTTTGTTTATTATATAGTTTATCTCAACTTTAAGGTAATCAGTTTGGTCAAAACCAAATTACATTTAACCGAAACGAAGAATTTTTTTTTTTAAATTATATTTCTGTTTGCTCTGTTGTTTTAAAACTAATTAAAGTCAATTACAATTATCAATACAATAAAACCCCAAACAATCTGATCTGAGTACTAAACTGAAAATATGCCAGTGCAGAGTGCTAGCTAGACCGTGTGGAATCATGATTGACGTGAAACTGTGGTTCCTTTAACAAGTTTATAAATTATTTTTCATATTTCAATTAAAAACGGTAACATAAGGGCTGCAAAAATATATTTCCTGACCTGTAATTTTTTCCAATACACGCCATCGGGTGTAACTTTATCTTTCACAACTCGTGGAACAGCCACATTTGTTTTCTTAAAGGAGGTCGCCATTTTGAATGTGTACTTCCGGATGTCTGACCCAACTTCCCATTAGCGAGTAGAAAGTTTCGCATAATTAAGTTTTGCCCGTCTCAATACCCATTTAGCTTTATCGCTGACATTACAATGTACAAAGTATTCTGTTGATGCTTTTTAGTTTGAATTCATTTAACCTTATGTTTATTTATATAAATTTATAGTTTGAAATAAAGAAAAATGTATCTGCATTTATAGTAGTTTATCAATTGAAGTCTGCATGGTGGGAATGCCTCCAGAATGTAAATGGGTCAGCGCCCTGCGCGGATTGGAAAGACGAGATCTCTAGCTTTCTCAGACGTCACCGCATAAATTAATTTCCTCGAATCCTGGCGCTCTGGCGGCGGAGATTATATTGTTTGATAAAGAGAGAGCGACGCTATTGTCGGGGGTCTCGGTCCTCAGCAAGCACCGCCTCCATTGTGCTAAAAAAAAAAATCGCGCAGTTGTTGGTCGGAGTAAAGAGCTGCAATGGATCAGACCGTTAGTAGATCGGGAATAGATCTTGTGAGTAAGATAGGGCGCTAGATAACACCGTTATTTGCTTTTCTTTTTAACTCGCGCTGAAAGGAAAATTCCACTTATGAAGCACGCATTTTAAATAAACTAATAAAGTGACTAAAAGTCTGAATTTTAGAAAATTACAAAATTCCTATTTCAGCTATTTTTCCAGATGCTGGTATTGTTGCCTAGGGTGAATTGCATGTGTTTGAGTAATTTAACATAGTTATGTTCACTACAATGATAAAACTTTGTGGTGTGTATTTCGACTTTAAAATACGCGTGAATGAAGAGGATTTTTCAGTAATTAGTAACAGTTTAAGTTGTAAGAACAGGGTCTGAAATGCAAGGACTTCTAAAATAAAAATAAAAATAAGTAGATAAAGATTAAAAAAAAAAAAAAAAAAATGTTAAAAAATTTTTTTTAAAAATCTTCTGTTATTCACTTTATGTAGAGTGTACATTTTCACAGTGTTGAGGTCTTAGCTACAGCCTAAAAAGTGCATAAACAGGATTGTGTAGTAATTATTAATAGCTAACATGCCTTTACCAGATTTGACATGCATGTTGCGTTAAGGAAATCTTTTTTTTTTAACCCCAAACCTTTAGTTATTTTGTGTAAAGTACACGTTGTTTGATAATTTTCTTAAAATCTACGTAAATGGTTCTGTAGTAATAAGTAATATTTGACAGTAAAAGTGTTGACATTTTTAAATGTCTTTTATCTTTAGATACTTTGAGTAAAGTATACATAGTTTTAAAAAATAAGTTTAATATGTTTTGCAATATTTATATGGTAAGCTACAGCGGATTATTACTCCTCCTTCTAGGTAGCAACCTGCTTTATTCGTCAAGGAGCATTCAGTGGTGAAACTGAACGAATGGTTTGTTTCTTTTATTCTTTTGCATGCCACTTTTTAAAATATATATATATGACATACACAAGAAAATAGAGCAGAATATATTCCTTTGTCGTAAATTTATGAGAACTGTGTAAATTTATATGTTGCTAACTATGGATTTCCCTTTACCGATAAGATATGGCAGATTAAAGAACTAGAGAGTATTCATTAATTTATTGTCCTGTTCTGCTGGTATGTCACATAGGGCTGCGAGTCCCATAACTCCTCATAGAACCTGGAAAGACGGAAAGGTGCCAGTCAATCAGGGCTCGCAATATGTTCCTTGATAACGCTCTATCCTTGCAATGACTTCGATATTATTGATGGAAACCCGTCAAGCACCTTTGGCTTGTCTCATCAGCGTTGCCTTAGAGTTGCTCTTGGACATCCTCGTTTCTGTAATCCCTCTATTTCCCATTTCAGAATGTGTTTACTATAGCCCTATATTCCCTGTCTTACAACCGTTAATGCTGGGGGTTACCCATACATTGCTCTTATTTCTTCACTCCTACTGAATCCATTTTATGTAATGTTCATCATTTCCCTGGGGCAATAATTTTCGAATACGTTTAAATTTAGTTCCATATCTTTAGGAACATGCAAACATTTTAGTGGTTCATCACTAATCAACTTATCAACGTGTTTTGTTACTTAAGCGTGTTTTTAACAATTACTCATGATTCACTTACTTGTAAATATGGCTTTTTTCTGTTGGTACACACCGGTACGCAGTACCGGTACCTTGTTTTTATGCATCATGTTTACTGTGCTTCTGTAGGTGGCACTTTGTGATGAGTAACCTAACCCCTTTTCCCACGCCTTCAAGCATCTTGCGCTCAATAGTGCTAGAACAATATGTGATTCACCAATCGGTACTCGGTAGGTAGTGTGGTCACATGACGCCGGCCTCCTCTGCTTTACAGGACTGCACCTCGTACCCATATCAGGCTGGTCGACCTGTGAGCCAAGGTAATTTTTGAAAGAAAGAAAAAAAAATAGTCCGGCTTTATTGGAATTCGAACCCACGGCCTTCAGATCCGCAAGCAATCATCCAGTCGGTACACTATTGCTGCTCCCGCTTTGTGGTGAGTAACTCCATGAGTGATGTAACCAACACCACGTGGCAGTTTTACTGTACGTTGTCCAAAATATTTTTATAATAATATTTTCAGCAAGCAGTTGGAGTTTTAAGCAACAACGGCTTATGACAGATGCATGTAAAGACACATTTACCTGAAACTTTAACAAGAGTTTAAGCAACGCACACATATTCTTTTCTAATATTCATGGTTTCCTTCAATAAGATTATACGTTTTAGCTTAAATATAAGAATTATTTTACAGTCTCTGACTTAATGTTTGAATTCTAATGTGATCCTTCTTACTCAAATGTCTTTTCTGCCTGAAGAAAGCAAGGTAATTTGCTTATAAACTAGAACAATTCATATAACTTTTCTCTCTTGCTTGTTTCTTGTTGTTATCCAATTAATTGTCTACTTTATTTTATTGTTTGTTTGTTTGTTTGTTTCTGTCTGTCTGTCTGTCTGTCTGTCTGTCTGTCTGTCTGTCTGTCTGTCTGTCTGTCTGTCTGTCTGTCTGTCTGTCTGTCTGTCTGTCTGTCTGTCTGTCTGTCTGTCTGTCTGTCTGTCTGTCTGTCTGTCTGTCTGTCTGTCTGTCTGTCTGTCTGTCTGTCTGTCTGTCTGTCTGTCTGTCTGTCTGTCTGTCTGTCTGTCTGTCTGTCTGTCTGTCTGTCTGTCTGTCTGTCTGTCTGTCTGTCTGTCTGTATGTCTGTCTGTCTGTCTGTCTGTCTGTCTGTCTGTCTGTCTGTCTGTCTGTCTGTCTGTCTGTCTGTCTGTCTGTCTGTCTGTCTGTCTGTCTGTCTGTCTGTCTGTCTGTCTGTCTTTCTTCTTCTTCTTCTTCTTCTTCTTCTTCTTCTTCTTCTGCTGCTGTTGCTGCTGCGGCTACTGCTGCTGTTACTTTTTGTTTTCTTATTTTATCATTTATTGGGAGTCTGTTACGTTTACCTCTAATACCTAGTAGCCACTCAGTCTGGCTTCACCAGCCATTTATATTAGGTTCACATCTTCCAAACATACTACATTCCCAACTGAGAGCTCCATCTGCGCTTTGCTAAATTTTCTTTCCTACCAGTTGTACCCACTTGGTAGTTTGACAGCTTATTGTTCGCAATTGTAACGACTGCGGGATTATTTTTCTTTTTTTTTTTCTTTTGGAACCTCTTGTCTTTCGCCGCTATCCACTGTAGAGTACAATTCGATATAATATTCATTCATCAGGTACCGTCTCCACTGTCAAGGTTAGCTACAATGAATCTCATCACCACGAAGTGCCTAACACACTGAGGTGAGCCATGATTCTTCCCCTTATCTTACGATTTCCAGCAGCATGTATCAGTTCGCAGGCTAACCCTATTCCATTTCATAACATAGGAATGCCAAACGTATTCTGTATTTGTCTCCACCTACATCTTTCCATAAATCTGTCAAATTTTCACAAAATGTTTCAGCTTTTTCCTTTTAATAATGCCAACCCCCACCCCCTCTCCACCCCACCCCCTCTCCACCCCACCCACTCTCTACCCCACCCCCTCTCTACCCCACCCAAGCAATGATAATGTTGTCTCTTCCTGATGTTCGCGATAAGTTGTCTTATCTTTTGTGGCTAAAGCGTTGAGAACCTGCTTTGTATTTATGGTATACCCGATTGAATTCTGCAACCGGCGATGTGGCAGTAGACCGCTTCGCGTTAATTTCGATAAGGGAACAGAAAGCCCGCCGTACAGAGGCAATGGCAAACTAGTAAATCGTAAAATTGCCTAGTTAAACCACACATTCAAAAACTACTGAAATTAGTACTTCAAAGCCCTATGATGGATACGCAGTTACGTTTCTAGAAAGAGTTGAGTTGAGTTAAGTTGAGTCAAGAATTGACATCACAGCATTCGGGGCATCCCCCTGCATGCCCCTTCCTCATCTTCAGCAGCCAGCACAGAGTTCCAATACTGATGGTACCGGTTACAATCTGGTTAAATGTCAGCCTTGCCTTTCCTCTGAGTGTAGTGAGCCGGCGTTTCTAAAAAAGAAAGACAACGAAACAAATAAATAATACACAGATAATAAAAACAATGTTTAAAAGCTAGAGGTGAAAATGATCTTGCTGAATTTTTGAAAATAATTGGTTGCATAAAACTACAAACATAAGAAGAACGGCATTAAAAAACACGTGCATATTTCTCAAAATATCGACAAAACACGTGTAAGGACCGAGAAGTGAGTACACAGTTCTATGAGAACAGAAGATAAACATCTTGAATTACATTCACTTTGAAGAATGTAAATTCCGATAACTATCAGACGAAAGGTGAAGAAGAAAGATTCCAGACACATTTAAAGTTTCCCATATCTGCTTTCAGTGTAATAATTCATATCCTGAGGAGAGGAAATTCATGGTATTAGAAAAGCGAGCTGTTGTTTTTGCAGCAAACAGTTGGACGGCTATTTTTTGTTGTTGCTTGGTTGTTATATTTATTGCTGTTGTCATAGCTTTTCTTATT